TATATATTTTTATGGGAACTTCAAGAACTGTGAACATATTTGTTTTCTGGATAATGTTTAAAAATCAGTCTATCTGACTCAAATAATTATCTGAGTCAATTATAATACATGGATTATAATTGTGTATAATTTTTTTAAAAAGTTCTGGTACTACTTTTTTCACTTATTTGTGCTATATCTATAGTTGACCAGAAAAACAGTGGCATTTTAGTGCCTCTTGTTACAGGATCATAATTATTAAAGGCTTTAAATAATTTATATGTTAAAATAACTGAATTTGCTATCCCTTTTTATTTTCTGGAAATATTTATAGGTAATAGAGATGATATTCTGTCATTTGAACTACAAGTTTTCTTGAATGTTTTATTTGTATCCTTATTAGCATTACAGGTGAAATGATTTAAATTTCTTCTAAATTCTTATATTATGAAGTGTTCACATAGATGTGAACATTTTGAAAAAAGAAACAAACAAACAAAACCTTCAGGCACTTATAGAAAATTATTACTTTAACCTGTTTYGGTAGAAAAAAATCTAGGAGAAATCTCCCTTTGAGAACTTTTGGGACTGATGTCCCAGTTTTATCACAGCAGTATGTATTTTTTCTTTCTTTTTTTTTTTTTTTTTTGCCATGTCTTTTGACCCAGGAAGTGAATTATGGCCTTATCTACCCATTATCTTATGTTTTTGATATCTCCCTTGTTACACTACCTTTAGGTATTATTTGATATTCTGTATGACTTCCACAAGATCCTGTTTCACTAAATATGATGGAAAGTTCCATTATCCATTGTATATTCTATTAATAATATATAAAGTGTGGAAAATGCAGCATAATCCAATAACAATCCCATCAGATATATCTGCTTCAACCAGTGCACCTTGGTATATAGTAAGTCTTTAAACTCAAATTTAAATAAATAATTATTAGTTACCAGTATTTTCATTACAACTTGGAATAAGTTTTTGGAATTAAAAAAATAAAATAAAATAAATCAACCATGTTCTTCAGAATTGTAGAGCAATCCTCCAAAACTGGATGTGAGGAGCAAACATTTTGAACCATACTTGAGAGCAATCGTATGTTTTGATGTTTCATAACTGTAATGACCAAGACTCATTTTGTTCTGAAGAGAAATTAAAGACATGAGTTCACTCATTCCTCCTGTAATTGATGTATAATTCACCAAAATAAATAAATAGCAAAAAAAAAAAAACCACAAACAAGTAAAACATTCAACATCATTTTAAACAAACATTTGGCATCTCTTATCCTAAAAATCCTACCTCTCATCCTAAAAATAAAATAAATAAAACACAGGGCAACTGACAACCACACCTCATGATGTTTCCATTTTCCCTTCACAGTCAGTAAAAGGCATTACCATGCCTTTTATGTTTGGGAGGTGTTTCCTGGTAGTGCTAATATAAAATCTCCTGGTTAGACTCCAGGGACTGCTTTTATCCAGCACTCTGCATTTCTAATGTGGCTTTAAGACCATCACTTACTAGTGCTAAATTTAGGGATAAGCACATCAAAGTGTTAGGACAGCAATGAAAAAGTATAAAAGTGCTGTAAGGACACTCTCCTCACTGTGCTCTCCTTACCATATTTTTAATATTGAAGATAATGGTGGTTCTAGGCAGAGAAATGAAGCATCTCATGAGACAAAAGTTTTAGAGGGCCTTTCTAACTACACAGAAGTTATTGCTATCTACCAATCTACCTACCTACCTATGTACTTGTCAGTCATAATCTATTTTTTAAGACTTAAATGTGAGCTGTTATTACATAAGTTTGCCCATTATACATCTATGATTGAAGAACTTAGTATATTCAAACCAATCTTTCTAATCCTCAGTTTTTTCATGTGCAAAATCAGAGTTGAAGGTATTTAAAATCCCTTTTCTAATATTCTAGAATTTTATTTCAACCCTTAAATAAGATAACAAYGTGGGGATTAACAGAATTAACTTAAGATATATTTAAAGATAAAATTCATTTTTTAAAACAAATGTAAGATACACAGAAAGAAATTGCTGTATCATGGGAAACAAGTCTTAAGTGTTGCAATAAAAATGATCATGTTTACAAATACAGCATCATGTGAAATCAAACAAAGCTAACTTTAAACTATGTCTTCTGGTGATATTTAGTATTCTTCCTTCTTCCTTAAAAAAAAAACCTTAACTTTAAGTAGATTATTTAGGAAGTAAAAACCCAAGAATCTAAGTATAGTTTTAGTCACTAATAACTTACCAAAACCCAAACCTACTCTTCATTTAATACTGTTACTGGTTAACTATACATACATAAATAGATATATCCTGAAATTCAGAAGTATACATATTTAAAATGTTATATCAAACATTTTTAAAAGTTTCACAATTTACAAATATCAGATTAATTACATTATAGTCAAATGTACATATCAGTGTTCCAAATCAATCTTAGCAAACAAATGATCAGTTACATTGAAGCATCTGTGTTTGTATTAATGTTAAATAATGATGCATCTAGTCTGTTTCCTTCCATTGAAAATAAGTTACAGTCAATGTTTATTTACAACACATTCTCATGTATTCTTCAAATTCTCTGTCATCATAATTCATCCTTTCTCAAATAAATATATTGCCACATTACTCACACAATTTATATTATATAATTTAAAGATACACCAAAGCATTCTGGTTAACTACAGTCATACAGTGTTGAAATATGGTGTGGGAGGACTCATCAGTAACTATTGATGCCTAAAGAGACATTAACAAGAAGAGGGAAAAAAATCTCCATTTTTAAAAACAATCTCAGGTGGTGAATTCAGCCCAGAAGAGACATAGCAATGACTAAAGCTTTGTGTGTACAGGGGCTAGAGGAAAGAGCAAGACCATAACCTYTCCATGCAAGGTGACATTCAGAGGAGTTTCTGATCCATACACAGCTCATCAAGTCTATTAACACAGCATTTAAGACATACTTTCAAGATTGGCTTTGAATTGGGATGTGGCTACACAGAGGTAGTATATAAGACACTTTTTATTTCAATAATGAAATAAATATAAAACTTCTGACATGACTATGAAAACCATTTCAGATATTTCCTTAATTACCATGGAGTATAATAATGGAAGAAATGTTTTTATTCTTATACAATAGCATTAGCTTATGTAATATTGCTTTATTAGTACTAATTTAACTGGAAGTTAGTGCATTGCTTTAAAATTGATAATACTATTTGCTTTCTCAAACCTTTTCCTGTTTATTACATCTGGAATTAGATTTACTTGTAGCATGCACTTTACCTTATATTTGCTCATTTTTTTAAAACACATTAATATAGATATGATGACATTTYAACATGTCATCGATATATCTATTAAGTGCTTACAGTTATTTTTGCACTCTCGATTTGATAAAACTTCAGCTGAACCCATAATATGTTAGGTGAAAGGACTGCAAATACATGCTGTTCATGTTATATCCAAATTCTTTGGTGCTATGTGCTGGAAGAGCATGCTATTTCATTATCTCTTTCAAAGGGTCTATTCATACCTGTATTAACCAGTTTCATAAACAAACATGTTCTGCACTTGACATAACATTGCCTAGGCTATGAGTCAGTGTTGGAATCTGAAAATATGATTCATCTTTTATTGAGTGCAGAATTTTTTTTAACCAAATAAGAATATTTAAAATGGGTAACTTCTAATTTCATAGATAATACCAAAGGCAACCAATTGAATATTTCTTCCTATATTACAAAGTTACCACTGTTTTTGATGTCACAAAATCACTAATTCTTCTTACTGCATAATATTCTGGAGACTGGTGAAAGAAAATTGTAAGTCTTATATATCTACAGCATAAGGTAATAAATAACAACAGATCTCCAGAAAACAACAGATTTCTCCTCAAATTTTATTACATCCTTACCCAAAAGGTAACCATACAAATAAATGTGAACTTATCTGCTAGTTAGATAATTTTAACTTTCCTTTTATTTCATCTTTGCTACTTAAATATTTTCTGATACCTGTACTCTGTTAACAGTATCTAACTATAAATATTATTGAATTTTGATAATCTAACAGTTAAAATTTGATTGATCAAGCTTTTTTATAAAGATTAGTGAACTTGCAAAGAAATATAATTAATGTGAGTTGTATATATTAGAGTGCAGTGGGGAAAAAAGGAACAATACTCCATCAAATCAATGCATTTTCAATGAGCTCAAATATAAAAATGACTAGTTTACTTTTGACACTTTCCCTTTCCTGTGATTTTTTTGTCAAGTCTTCATGACATTTRGATGTATTTGCCAGGTATAGCCAGTAAGCATAATTTAGAATGTTGACACAGGTCAGAACCACAAATATTTGAAGAAACCCCCTTTACCATGTAAAATGCTCACCTGAATCCTGACATCTGATACTCATCTAAATATGATCCATTTTTACTATTTATGTATCATTTCATTTTTAATATTGAGAATAAGAAAGTCACTTGTTATTAAATTACTAATAAAGATACCTTTATGTTTGACAGTCCTGAATCAAATTATTTAAACAAAAGTTATGAACATGCTTGAAGTCCATTTCCAATTAATATAATAAGAATATACATAAATACACTAAAATAAGAGGAATTCAAGGCCTCTAATGTAATTTGAAGTTTACTTTTATTTTTAGGATAATATTCTATATGCACATTTTTGACTATAAAGGAACTTGAGTAGATATCAGATTTTCTAAAAGTACAATAAGAAAATAATACATGTTTCATCACTATGCATTTGCATGTCTTATTTAAATACTACAAAATGTATTCTTACCTGCTTCCGAGAGAGAGAGAGAGAGAGAGAGAGAGAGAGAGAGAGAGAGAGAGAGAGAGAGAAGCAAAATATAGCAAGTGGGAGAAAAGCAATATTTGTACTATTTGATTCTAAGAAAGCAAAAACTGAATAGCTTATATTGTCCAGAAAAGAGTAAAAAACGCATACCTTGTTTAGTAACAGAACTGAGTTTAGCCGTGCTCAGCACCGATAATTCTGTTTCTGCCTCTGTCTCATTCCTTCTCTTCTCTTTTTATAGTATCTTCACAGCTGAATCTTCATGCATCTCAGTGTGCCTCTCTTCAGCATCACTTTTAACTCAGACAGGCAGAAAGCTGAAGCCAAAGGAACTCTCTATCTGATTGGTTTCCATTCCGCGTTTTTGATTAATAAGAGACGTCCCTCAAATAGGAAGATATTACAGCTGATGGCGCTGCAGGGCTCCAGGTTGGGGCTGGGGAAGTGAAGACCTCTTTGGGAACAGTGATTTGCAAGCGAATAAACTGGGAGGGCTCAGAGAGCAGGCTTTAACAAAGACCCCCATAAGAGAAAATAGCCCAGTGTTTTTAGTCCCTGTTAATCAGCTCTGCCTAATCTGTCTGCAATTGGGACAGAGGTCACAGCATGACTGTAACCTGTAAATCATCTGTAGAAATACATATCATCACGTGGAGAGTGCTGTTATTAAAAAGGAATTTTGTGTATAATCCTTGGAGAATTTACTGCTCCCTATTTGATTCCTGCCAAATTTCCAAGTTTAGTGAAAGGAAGAGAAGGAATTCAGAGTATATTCATCATTGTAATTAWAATTTTTTTAAATTTATACCTCTATGAGTTTATAATATAAAATACTCTTTCAGAAAAAGTCATTTAAAAACATCTCATTAGTGGCGTCTGGGACACGTTGTTTTTCAGTAACGAGAACAGTTTAAAGTATAGTTTCAGATTTCTGGAACACTTTTTTTTTTTTTTTTTTACTTATTAATGCAGTTGGGGGATTTTCACTTTCCCTGGAAATCTCTAAAAATAATGATGACCTTGGCGCATCACAAAACTTCACAGTCCACCTGTAGAGTACCTGCTGCACACTGTACAACTCTTTTAATGCGGGTAAGCCGGAAAGTCCAATCCTGCTTCAGAAGGGAAGTCTCTTCAGTACTTCTGGAAATGGCACAATAAGAAAGATATTGATTAGTAGATAAATCCTTCTGAAGAGAAGTTCTAGTAATAGTTGTATGAAATGCACAGAGGGAACATGGCTCACTTTATAACGGCTCGTTAAGTATCAGTAAGTAAATAACTTAAGTGCCAAAAAATATCAATATCCTATTTGATGCTTCAAAGGAAAACAGACAACAGGAAAAAAAAATAATGAAATTTTCACTTTTTTTTCAATATTGAATCTTACTTATGAGTGAATATAATAAAGCTGCCTATTTGAAGTTTGTGCATTATGGAAATTTATTTCTGAGAAGGGAAAATAAATGCTTAGAAAAATGAAACTTTACCTTGCCCCAAATAAATTGTGACATCACTAATGCATGGTGATTAAACTTGGGGTTCCTAGTTGTGAAATGATTGTGTGTTTTAAGTACAGAAGGTGAGCATAAAAGCATGTTTGAATTTGTTCATCTGCAAATGATGGCAGATAAGAAGGAAAAACTTCATTCACATTTCCGAATTTAGAAAATCCAAGTGGTTAAGACAGCTTAGTGAATTCTTCATGGAGGCTGAGTGTTTTCTTGAGGCAAAAAACTTAATTTAAAATTCTCAAGACTCCTTCAGACTTATTTCTTTGAGGTTTACTTGTTTCTTTAAATAAAACTACATATTATAAAGACCTTTGTGTTAGTTCTGAGATAAAGTGATATATGTAAAGTGAGGGGAAAGGGACCAAACAAAATATTTTATCATAGCCTTAAAGTAAATATTCACAAGTAAAAGCTTTAAATCTTTGATATTGCACACATTTAATTTCCCTCTGAAATCCAACGACAGGGAAACACTGTTTTGCCTGAAATCCCACAGAGCAGTCTATAACCTGATTTAAAGTTATTTTTACTAATCATGGAAAATGGTAGGGACAACTCTTAGTAAATGAAAGTCTTCTGCCTTTCTCTGTTTGTGAGAGTACTCTGAAAATGGATGACTTTAACCTTTGAATTATCATTTTTTTATATTGTGCACAGTTCCATGTACATTTTCAATAATGAGTAGCACTCTATCTTCTAAGTTTGTGCATATGTGTATTTGTGTGTGTGTGTGTGTGTGTGTGTGTGTGTGTGTGTGGTGCTGGGGATCAAACCCCAGTCCTGGAGCATGCTCAAGAAGCACTCTTTCACTGAGCTATACACCTAGTCTGAAACCAGTTTTGAATACTTGGAATGATGAATATTAATCATGGTAAACAAGTTTGCACAAGTATTAGTCATCATCATTTTTACAGGAATAGGAATATATTTTCTCTTATATGTTAAACTTAAAAATTCTCTAACAGTAAATGTAAAATGCTATCTGAAATCTTTCAAGATTAGTATGAGTTAACAATTTTATTAATTATCTTGCACATTAAGGGTATTACTTTACTGCAAAAAAAATTTTATGCATTTTTWATTTTCATTTAATGCATCTTCACACTTAAGTTTTCCATTTATTTAATTATATCCAAACTAATGCACCCCTGCCACATGGAAAATTCCATTTTTAAAAAATTTTATTACTATAACTATCATTCTATTATATAATAATCCTTTTACAAATTATTGAGAAAGAAATATTAAAGTAAAATTGAAACAGCACTAGCTCATCTTTTTATTAAAATATAAAATAAAAAGAATGAGCACTTGGCCATATTTTTTTTCTACAGTGATGAAATGGGTTCATAAAGCTATGTGCATTATCTTGAGGCCACTTTTAGACAGAAGCCCCTTGTGTGATTATGTCACTCAAAAGATCACTCTGGAGTCTAAGACCCTTGCTCATGGTGAGTCATGCTCACCCCTCCCCATATAAATCTAGAATGTTTTGCACAACAGTTTTTGCAAGGTATTAGTTTTGTTTGTTTGGTACAAGAGATTAAACTCAGGGGCACTCAACCACTGAGTCACATCCTCACCCCTAGTTTGTATTTTATTTAGAGACAGGGTCTCACTGAATTGCATAGTGCCTTTCAATTACTGAAGCTGGCATTGAACTCATGATCCTCCTGCTTCAGCCTCCCAAGCTGCTGGGATTWCAGGTGTATGCCATCACATCCAGCTTGCATGACACTATTTTGAACATATAAAATCAGACCTTAAAATCAAAGGGCTTGGAGTCCGGGCTGCGGCTCAGTAGTACAGTGCTTGCCTTGCATGCGTGAGGCACTGGGTTCAATTTTCGATAGCACATAAAAATAAATAAAAAATAAAATAAAAATATGTTTAAAAACTCAAAAGGCTTGCTCCTGCAACCTTAAGATTAAATTTTAATTAGGAATTGAGCAGAAATTATAAATTTTCTCCTATTTCCTAATAAAATTAAATGTTAATTCCATCACTATTCACACCCTACATATAATTGTTGTCCATGTAAGGCATTTAGTGTCTTCAATCATCTCTCATAATCATGGTTCTTAATACTAGGTGGTTTGTTGTTTCTTCAAATCTCATTGGAATCCTCTCAGACCAATGTCACCCACTAATTGGCCTTTTTCTGCTATCACAAAATCTCCTGCGTCTTTTGGATTTCTAAATGTATTTCTCTGAGCTCCCTGCTCTTACTGGAAGCTGGTCATTGTGTGTGCCATCTTCTCATTTTCTTGGGAGTTGTTTTATAATAATGGGGAAAAAAATCTACCCCAAATTCTATAAAAACAACACTTTGTTAACTTAATAATTATAGCTTCCTGGCATGTTTTCCTAACTGATATGTCAAATCCACCTCCTGACACTAATATTCTTGAATATTTATAGATTTGCTTTTATTCAATACAAAAATGTTCCAGACAAGAGATAAACAAACATGAGTTCTACTTTCTTTCTTAAGTAATAGATGTATCCCAAAGATGGATCTGAGACATAATGCCTCAGCACATACAATAATATTACATAAAGACTAGAGTTCATCTTTGCTATAAGTGGAGATGTAGGTATTGTTATCAACATCACAAAAGAATATCTTACAGAAATACAACTTCCTGCCACCATGCCTCATTTCTGTTAATTCAATCCAGTTTTGAAAAATAGCAACAACAACAAAACTGACTTCTTAATCTTTGATTTAAATCTAGCTTTTAATCTAGATTGGCTTAAATTCAACTGGTGATCCCACTCCTTGGTTTATACCCAAAGGAGTTAAAAGCAGCATACTACAATAATGTAGCCACATCAATGTTTATTGTAGCACAATTCACAATAGCTAAACTATGGAACCAACCCTGGTGACCTTGAAGAGATGAATGGATAAATAAATTTTAGTATACAGAGTACTATTTAGCCTTAAAGAAGAATGAAATTATGCCATTTGCAGATAAATGGATGGAGCTGGAGAATATCAGGCTAAGTGAAATAAGGCAATCCCAAAAGCAAAGGCTGAATATTCTCTCTGATATATGGATGCCAATTTATAATGCGGGGGGCGGGTGAGTAGGGAACAAGAGAAGTACTTTGGATTATACAGAGGGGAATGAAGGAAGGAGAGGGTGTATGGAGGTGAGAAAGACAGTGGAATGAATTGGACATTATTACTCAATGTGCATATATGATTACACAACCAGTGTAATTGTACATCATATACAACCAGAAGAATAAGCTATACTCCATTTATGTATCATGTGTCAAAATACATTCTACTATCATGTACAACTAATTAGAAAAAAWTTTTAAAAAGTCTAATTTGAACTTCTATGATGAAACTTAGTCTGGTCTGGCCCTCTTGCTTACTTTATCAGTGGATTTTAAAAAAAGCATTGTCTGTTTCTTTTGAACTCTTATTCCAAAGGATGTGTCCCGGTCTATAAACATATGGCTAAGACATAATGTCATACATGCTTATTGAATTCACCTGCATTCATCACATATTATCATTCCTTCCTCTATTAAGAAAGATGACAACAAATTAGGGATTAAATAAATTATGATTAGAAGAAAGACTGTTTTAACTTTCAATGATGAAACAAAAAGGAAAGTATAAAGTATAATGCATATGTATTTTTATTGATTGTTTAATGGTTATAAAACACATAGTTTAAAGAATAACTGTATAATGGCCTTTTGTATGTCCAAAATAAGATTAGAATATTACCATTACTTT